TAACACACACACACACACAACACACAAACACAAAGTCACCACCACCCTCAACAGCCGCTGACTCCAACTCGTCGTCACCAAACTGCCGCCGCCAACAGCCCTGTGGTCCCGTTGCAACATATGTAACATCCATATATATATATATGTGTGTGTATACAGAAGATCAAATAATAGTTTTAAAGAAATATGAGAAAATATTAATGAGAAATTAGGATGGATTTTCTTAATTGATTTTGACCAAGAAGCTGACCCAATTATACATAGTTTCATGAAATTTATCATGAGGATTTGAAAAAACAAACCAAAGTAACCTGATGATTAGTTGAAGATTAATCAATGAAATTAAAAACCCAATAATAACTAGTAAGAACTTTATTATATATGTGCGTGTGCGCATAATATATGAAATGCCAATCCTTATTATTCTTTAAACCCTTTATGGCAAATCCAATTAATATTTTACTTGAATCTAGATAGACTACTCATTTAATAAAGTTCATAAAATTTAATTAGAATGATGACTTTATCTGTTTCTAGTCAATTTTATTTGAGACGCAACTTATTAATACCTCATAGGCAGTAATAAATAACTATAACTAAATAAATAAAAGTAATGAGTTTCATTTGTAAGATATATATATAAAAGGGGATTCTATTGTCTCGTTACGGAATCATTTCGTAAGGTTTGTAACTGTTAGATAAACTACCCACGACGTTATATGATGATATAACGATTACAAATTCTGACAAAATGATTAAGTAACGGGACTATAACATTTCTAAAAAAAAAAGGACCGATAGCCCGGATGTTAAGCGAGGTTGCTCCAGACATATTTTCCGCTTGCGCAGGAGCCACCCAACACTCCCACAAATCACTGCCTCCTCCCCAATATTTTACTGTTTTTGCCTTTTGTCCCCCATTTTCTTTTTCTGTCTTACTCATGGACCATAGTATATTGTTCATTAAATAAACTTATCTTGATAATGTTTTACAGTTAGATGGTAATATATATAGTTATCATTTTTATTTTATTTATTTATTTATTTTTTTGGTACAGTCCATATAATCCAAAAAATATATATGAGAAATATTCCACGCATGGCAACAGTTGCCATGATAATAAAAAAAAAAAAAACATGCCGCAATATATATAATTATAAAAATAAATGATACTATTTTTTTTTTTGGGTACAAATAAATAAATAAATAATACTATTGGCAAGATAAAAGGCACAACAAGACTCGAAACATAATATGAAAAAAACACAAATATAAAATTTAACCACACTTATGATCAAATTAAATAGATAATACAAAATATATACAATAATTAAACACGAACACAATACATTAGTCTATTCACATAATCTTGAAAAATGAAAACATCAATAAAATGATGGGAAATGTTAAGATCCCGCTATGGAACCATTCTGTTAGGATTTGTAACCTTTAGATCAACATGTATCCGTCGCGGTAGTAATTGCTCAAACGATTCCAAACCCAGACGAAATAATCATTTCGCAACGAGACCGTAACATCTCCTTAAAATATCGTGTGTGTGCAGATTCAGGAATATGAAACTCTGCATGAATAGTGTTCCACCATGTAAATGATCACGAAAATGAATAATCAATTTTAATTAAATTTAGGAATATGAAATTAATTAACTCTGCAATTTGATTTTGTTCCTTTTTCTTTTGCACTACATTAAAAAAAATTTATTCAACCAACAAGGGTTAGACTCAAGTGGTAAGCAGCTTGATGTCGCTTAAGCAATGTCTCGGGTTCGCGTCTTTGTGGATGCAGAAAACACTTGATGGAAGACTCACTCACCACTGTCAAGTATGCAATTCGAGTTGACCAACGGATTAATCGGAACATAACTCAAAATACCGTAGCTGGCTAAAAAAAATTAATTCATCTGCCTCCCAATTTTATACTTTCAAATTTTCACACCTTATGTAAAGTTAAAGAAAAGCAGATTAAATAAAAAAAAAAAGAAAAAGGTGAAAAACTTAGGAAAAAAGGAAGCTCATTTACATTTATGCCCATTTGACGCCGAACGGCAGAGAGAACCGCCTCTGTCACCCCATTATATTCCTCCACCTGTCTTCTCCCCTCTCTCTCTCCTCTCTTTCTCTCTATACTCGAATAAGTTTGTTTTGTAGCTACCTATGTACCTATAATAATAATATTTCTCCTTTATTCAGGGGTTTAAACTTAAATTTAGTAAAGTATATGAACACAAAAACAAAACCCTCACATTGGTTTTTTTTTATTATAGAGTTTTATCGATACAATACCCGAAAGGTGGTAAACTGTCCATTCGAAGTTTGAAAGATTTTTTTTTTCAGTTTGGGACTTAAATATTATAAAACTATCAAATTAAGTCCTAAACTTAACAATACTCATAACACTATTAAATTGAGAGTTAAAAAAAAGAATTGATGTTTACTCACATAAAATAAAAAAATATTTGCATAATATTAGAAAAAAGAAAAAAACAGAAATAGACGATAGCAAGAAAACCGAGTAAGAGCTTCATACTTTCTTTAATTTTCTCTAATAATCTCGTATATTCCTTAATTTTCTTTATTTTTTCCTTATGTTTTTATTTTTTTACTTTGTAATATATTTAGTATTTTAATAAAACATCAAATTAACTGTCAATTTAATGGTGTTATGAATTTTATTAATTTTAAGACTTAATTTGATAGTTTTATAACTTTATGTCCCGAATTCAAAAAAAAAAAAAAAATCTTTCAGACTTCGAATTAATAGTTTAACTATGTGTCAGGTCTTGTAAAAAACTCCTTTTATTTATTATTTTACTTATTACTTGACGTGTCTGCTTGGTTGGGTTTCTTCAACTTTGCATGTGCCTTCTCATAATCTCCTTCAACCTCAAGTCTTTTTTAATAAATACCCAAATTAATCACCACTTTTTATCACTTCTTGCTTTCTAATTTTCATTTTATTTTCAAATAAGGACACAAAAATAAAAATAAACCCATATGGATTGTTCTTTGAGGATTGTTGGATAAATAAGGTAATTACAAAATAACCCCATCTTGATGCTTTATTTTCAGATTTTGACTCACACACACACACACACACATATATATATATATATGATGTATGTATGCTCGTCTCTTTGTTTTCCAGGCCTAGTTGATATTGAAGAACATATATTTTGAGAAGTAGTACTCAGTGTTGAAGAAGTTGTACTACGTTGTTATATAGTTTGGAGAAGAAGAAAAAAAAAAAGAAAGAGAGATCTAAAATAATGGCACCAGAAAATGATTGGCTTTCATTTTCATTGTCTTCAATGGATATGCTTAATCCATCTTCTCAGCCTGCTGCTGATTCCCAACATTTTTACTCCTTTGCCGATAATTTCTATGCAAACGGTAATTACTTTTTTTTTTTTATAAAAAAAATCAAAACCCTATTATTATTATTATTATTATCATTATTATTATTATAAATTACAGATTTAATTTAGTGATTTATTGTGAAGATATATGGTTAGCTTTGGCTATGCCATCAGCTTTTTTGGAGTTTCTTGTAATTAGTTATATTAATAAATTTAAAAAAATAAAAAAAGAAATTGCACAAATTGCAAATTATATCCATATTTCCGTTTGGATTATTATTTTTTTTTTATTTTATTTTTTTTGCTGAGCGAAACAAGTTTGAAAAAAAAAAGCTGAAAAGGACAAGAAATTGCACCCGTGTACTACTATTTTCCGTTACTTCATAGTTGTCATTATGTATTTCAATTACATATATAATATCAGTTGTATATTTTTTTTTTTTATAATTCTATATTTATTTATATATCCCATTTCTTGCTTAATATAATATTTTTTTTTCAACTATATTCATATATCCTATTCATTTTTTTTCTGGCATTATTTCCACACCCACCGTTTGAGGGATTCAATTTTTTTTTTTTGGTATTTGAGTTTGATAAATTTTGATATTTTATTTGTAATTTTGGAAAATTATTTAGGGTGGGCTAGCCAAAAATCTGAAGCCATGTACGCCGAAGCCGAAAATCAAGACCAGCTTAAAGAAGAACCAAACAGCTATTCTATTCTCACCGGCTACATGCAGCCGCCGCCCAAGCTGGAGGACTTTTTCGCAGTGGCCGGCGGCGGCGGGGACCCCGTGGAGGCCCATGACGACTCGTCCCTGACTCACATCTACGACCAGGTCCACCACGGCCAGGCGGCAGCCTACTACGAGCACCAGGACCTGAAGGCCTTTGCTGGGTTTCAAGCCTTTTCGGCCAACTCGGGATCAGAGGTGGATGACTCGGGGTTCGGGGGCCAGACTCAGTCGCCGGTTGAGTCGGGGACCGAGTTGGTGGCCTACTCTCAGACTCAGTGCAACGTTAACGCAAATAATGGTTTAACTCTTGGGGTGAACAATGGCTTTGGCACTGAGAATGAGAATAATTATAATAATAGTAATTTTAATAATAACAACAACAACAACAACAACAAGAACACGACTATTGTTTGTGCTGCCGATGATGAAAACTCGGCGAGTTGCAAGAAAGTTGCTGATACTTTCGGGCAGAGAACTTCAATTTACAGAGGGGTAACTAGGTAAATTTCCGCATTCATTTTGATTCCAATCTTTAATCATATTTTTCGCAGATGCTACGGTCTCGTTACAGAACTATTTTGTTGGAATTTGTAACTGTTAGATCAACTATCCCAGACGATTATACGTCTAACGATTATAAATCCCGACGAAATAGTTTCGTAACGGGACGGTAGCATTTTTCGAATGATTTAAAATTTTATTTATCTATATTTGTGATTTGATGTAGGCATAGATGGACAGGGAGATATGAAGCGCATCTATGGGATAATAGCTGTAGAAGAGAGGGCCAAGCAAGGAAAGGGCGTCAAGGTACAACTCCTATTTTTTTACTTTCAATATTTTCAGGCTCTGTAAAGTTGTACTGTCTTCAGAAATTAATACTATATTTTAATCCATATCAATGGTAAAAAAAAAAAAAAAGGTAAAATAGTTAAAAGAGAAGCTATATGTGCAAATCCAATCAGGCTTTTATGATGATTGATTGAGTGGAATTTGTACAGACAGTAATAGTCCTTTGATTTTATCTATTTATATTTATTTTTTTTTTCAAATCTTTCACTGATTTGATTATGTTGGCCGCCATTTTTATTCATGTTAAATTAAATTTGTCTACAAATAACACTATATTATAGTTTTTACCCTAGACTATTTATTATTTGGACTCTAGATTTTGGCTAGGTTCATAGGGTAATTTTTATAGACCGTTGAGTTATTGAATTTTTGTCCAGCATATATTTGTTTTTTTTTACCACAACAGTTAATTTTTATTTTTTTTTTTGGTAAAATTTTTTTTTTTTTAACTTTCTCTCTTTTGCTTTCTTGGACTATCAGTGGGTTTTGACCAAGCCATAATATGTATGGGCTGCCCACCTTTATTTCTGGATTTCACACCTTTATATAATACATGGTCAGCACACATTTTTCTTTATTTATTAAAATCCTATTTTGAATTCTATTTTGTGTTGGCTAATATTAGAATATTCACTTGTAAGTTGTCTCACATCGTTTATACACGGAAAATAGACCCACTTTATAAGCGTAGTGGGTTAGGCTATTCATCCTTTCCACCGATTGGTTTTGTGATGGAGCCTCACTTGGGCTTTTCCATGACTTGGTTTGGGTTAAACTTTTCGTGTGAGTTTGGCTGCATTCTGAATTTTGGACACTAGGGAAATTTGAAATAAATTTAATAGATTATCTAAAAAAAAGGACTATGTAAGACGGAATTAAATCTATTCGTCATCGACTCAACCTACACCAAATTTTCAACTACAATGTTTTACTTGAGATATCATTGAATTACCCGTTCTTGGGGCGAATATCCTAATGCTTTCTTCTCTTTTTTTGCATGAATTGGGATCTTATTTTGGATGTTGCTGCTCATATCCGATATAATGCAGTGTACTTAGGTAAACAATGTTGTTCTTAATTAATATGCATTAGGCTTTTTTGGCCATGTACTTATATGATAAAATCATTTGTGATTAAATCTGGTTAAAACGGTAACATGCAGGTGGATATGACAAGGAAGATAAGGCTGCAAGGGCGTACGATTTGGCCGCGCTCAAATACTGGGGTACAACTGCCACCACCAATTTCCCGGTAATTGCATTGCATATTTTTTTAGTTAAACTTGCAATTACTCCTTATTCGACTAACGTATTTTTTTAGTTAAGGGAATGTTTAACCAAAGATGTTCGTTTTAGATCTCGAATTATACCGCAGAGCTCGAGGAGATGAAGCATGTCACTAAGCAAGAATTCATAGCCTCACTCAGAAGGTATTAAATTTTATTCTCTCAATTCATTGTGTGATTTATTATTGTCAAATCAGTGGCATGAAATATTTCTGTGACTCTTTCTAATCGAACCGATCCAATCTATTATCTTTCATTAGGAAGAGTAGCGGTTTCTCGAGGGGAGCATCGATCTATAGGGGTGTTACAAGGTTCGTAATCTTAAGTATTGCAATTTTTTGAAAACCTTAACCATATCAAACCGTATAGTATATGTCAGCTACAACTTGAAAATCCAATCTTGCTTAATTAGTATTTTTGGTTATTTTTTTTATGACCCGTAACAAAGCAGGCATCATCAGCAAGGCCGTTGGCAAGCAAGGATCGGCCGTGTTGCCGGTAACAAAGATCTCTACCTCGGAACATTTGGTAATTGCTCTAACCAATTAATCACTTGTACTTGACCGAAAAAAGCTTTTTATAATTTTATCTACAATTCTCATGGCACAGCCACGGAAGAGGAAGCTGCGGAGGCTTACGACATAGCCGCCATCAAATTCCGCGGCACAAACGCCGTCACCAATTTCGAGATGAGCCGTTACGATGTCGACGCGATCACCCGGAGCCCACTTCCGATCGGCGGCGGGTCTGCCAAGCGACTCAAGCTCTCCCTCGACGGAAAACCGCCTCTGACCGCCGGAGGTCAAATTCCGGCAGGCGGCACCATCAGCTTTTCCGACGTGCAGTCATCGAGCTCCGGTGGACTCATCCCGTGTGGGGTTCCTTTCGACTTAGCCGTGCCCCCTTTCTATCAGCACCACCACAACAACTACCTCTACCACCACCTCGGACTTGGAGGGCCCGACCCGGTTACTGCTGCCGCTGGGAGTCAGATGCAGGGGCCCGAGTTCTTCATCTGGCCCCACCAGTCGTATTAGCAGATTCTAATGCTCGGTTAGGAATGAGTCAGACTTTACTAATTCCTTTCGTTAACCGTAGT